TGGGACCCTCTGCTGGTCATTGGAACCCTCTGCTGACCACTGGGACCTTTTACTGACCACTGGGACCACATGATGGCTGCTGAGACCTTCTGCTGGCCACTGGAACCCCCTACTGACCACTGGGACCCTCTACTGACCATTGAGACCCTCTGCTGACCACTGGGACCCTCTGATGACCATTGGAACTGCCTACTGACCACTTGGAGCCATTACTGACCATTAGGACCCTCTGCTGACCACTGGGCCTGTACAATAGCTACTGTGACCCTCTGCTGACCATTGGGACCTTCTACTGACCACTGAGACCTTCTACTGACCGTTAGGACCTTCTACTGACCATTAGGACCCTCTACTGACCACTGAGACCTTCTACTGACCGTTAGGACCTTGTACTGACCATTGGGACCCTGTGCTGACCATTAGGACCCTCTTTTGACCATTAGGACCCTCTGCTGACCATTAGGACCCTCTACTGACCACTGAGACCTTCTACTGACCGTTAGGACTCTCTGCTGACCCTTGGGACCCTCTGCTGATCATTTGGATCATCTACTGACCATTAGGACCCTCTGCTGACCCTTGGGACCCTCTGCTGACCATTGAGACCCTCTACTGACCATTGAGACCTTCTACTGACCACTGAGACCTTCTACTGACCATTGGGACCCTCTGCTGACCATTAGGACCCTCTACTGACCACTGAGACCTTCTACTGACTGTTAGGACCTTCTACTGACCATTAGGACCCTCTGCTGACCCTTGGGACCCTCTGCTGACCCTTGGGACCCTCTGCTGACCATTAGGACCCTCTGTTGACCCTTGGGACCCTCTGCTGACCATTAGGACCCTCTGCTGACCCTTGGGACCCTCTGCTGACCATTAGGACCCTCTACTGACCCTTGGGACCCTCTGCTGACCATTAGGACCCTCTACTGACCCTTGGGACCCTCTGCTGACCATTGGGACCCTCTGCTGACCATTAGGACCCTCTGCTGACCCTTGGGACCCTCTGCTGACCCTTGGGACCCTCTGCTGACCATTGGGACCCTCTGCTGACCATTAGGACCCTCTGCTGACCCTTGGGACCCTCTGCTGACCATTAGGACCCTCTGCTGACCCTTGGGACCCTCTGCTGACCCTTGGGACCCCCTGCTGACCNTGGTCATTGGGACCCTCTGCTGGTCATTGGAACCCTCTGCTGACCACTGGGACCTTTTACTGACCACTGGGACCACATGATGGCTGCTGAGACCTTCTGCTGACCACTGGAACCCCCTACTGACCACTGGGACCCTCTACTGACCATTGAGACCCTCTGATGACCACTGGGACCCTCTACTGACGATTGAGACCCTCTGCTGACCCTTGGGACCCTCTGCTGACCATTGAGACCTTCTACTGACCACTGAGACCTTCTACTGACTGTTAGGACCTTCTACTGACCATTAGGACCCTCTGCTGACCCTTGGGACCCTCTGCTGACCATTAGGACCCTCTACTGACCACTGAGACCCTCTGCTGACCATTGGGACCCTCTGCTGACCATTAGGACCCTCTGCTGACCCTTGGGACCCTCTGCTGACCCTTGGGACCCCCTGCTGACCCTTGGGACCCTCTGCTGACCCTTGGGACCCCCTGCTGACCACAGGGACCCCGCAGTTCCCACCCCCCTGTCCCAGCCCCTCCGGCCGCGCCGTTCCTCCTCGCGGCGCCGCCGCCCCGCCTGACGGCGTTCCCCGGCCGCAGGAATACCTCAACAGCATCCTGCAGCACGCCAAGGACTTCAAGGAGTACCACCGGAGCGTCAGCGGGAAGATCCAGAAGCTGACCAAGGCCGTGGCCACCTACCACGCCAACACCGAGCGCGAGCAGAAGAAGGAGAACGAGCGCATCGAGAAGGAGCGGATGCGCCGGCTGATGGTGAGCCGCGGTGGGACCGGCGTGGGGGGCCGGGCCGGGGGGTGCTGAGGGGTCCAGCTGGTGGCCAGGTCACCCCTGGTGTCCCTCAGGGGTCAGCTGTGGTCAGTGCTGTCAAAACACGAAGTGGTTGCACAGAAGTTTGGGGAGTTCAAAGAGAAAAAGGTTCCAGCCTCTGGTATTTTGGGAATTCCAGAGGTGACCGTGGGTTGGAGGATGGAGTCACCACCACATCTCCAACCACACTGGTCCAAAGTCACCACCACATCTCCAACCACACTGGTCCAAAGGTGACCATGGGTTGGAGGATGGAGTCACCACCACCTCTCCAACCACACTGGTCCAAAGGTGACCATGGGTTGGAGGATGGAGTCACCACCACCTCTCCAACCACAATGATCCAAAGGTGACCGTGGGTTGGAGGATGGAGTCACCACCTCTCCAACCACAATGATCCAGAGGTGACCATGGGTTGGAGGATGGAGTCACCACCTCTCCAACCACAATGATCCAAGGATGACCATGGGTTGGAGGATGGAGTCACCACCTCTCCAACCACACTGGTCCAAAGGTGACCATGGGTTGGAGGATGGAGTCACCACCACATCTCCAACCACACTGGTCCAAAGTCACCACATCTCCAACCACACTGGTCCAAAGTCACCACCTCTCCAACCACACTGGTCCAAAGGTGACCGTGGGTTGGAGGATGGAGTCACCACCTCTCCAACCACACTGGTCCAAAGGTGACCGTGGGTTGGAGGATGGAGTCACCACCTCTCCAACCACAATGATCCAAAGGTGACCATGGGTTGGAGGATGGAGTCACCACCACATCTCCAACCACACTGGTCCAAAGTCACCACATCTCCAACCGCAATGA